ATCAGCAGAATTTTTTATTTAAAAAAATGGGGGTATAGTCCCACAGTGAAATACTACACTGCCCCTAAAAATGAATGAGCCACAACTACAGGCCATATGAGAAATAAATCTCACAAACGGTGTTAAGTGGAGGAAGCCTGGTCCAAAGGAATACATTCCATCTATGAAAATGGAGACATTACCATTCATCTTATAGGGGGCAACAGAATTTCAGGTGATTCACAGAAAGTACCAGCATAGTTCCTCCCTCCCTCCCTCCTTTCGTTCCAGCCCCTCTCCAGGTAGAAAGTACTCCGTTGATGACTTTCCTGAAAAGATTAAGTAAGAATGTTCCTGTTAACGCAGTTGAGTACTTGGTGGAAGAACCAGAAGTGAAAGGCCAGCCAAATAGGGGTGAAGGTCCCCAAGTCCTAAAATCATCTCAGAGATAATATTTTACCCACAAAATTGGTGGGGTCCAGGAGTTACAAGAGGTGGTCTCCAGGACCATCAGACTCTCCAAAGTCCATCACTATAATTGTTTTGAAATAACTCATATAATAATTCATATATAAGGAACACAAAAAAGTTTCCACTTTCACATTCAGTATCTTTCTGACACTCCTATAGAAATATCCAGAACATCAGTGACTTGATGTTCTGTCTACACAAGCTACAGCTATGACATCACAATAGCTTTGGACATAGGGGTTGCAAAATAAAAGTGACATCTATGATAGGATAATCTCCAAGTTTACTGAGATGAATTTTTTCCTCACACACTTGAAATGAATTGCATTTTGGTCACATGGTTTTCTTTTGCTTAACATGTCAAATATGCACACCGTTGGTCTTATTCTGAGTGCTTTTAAACAAATACTTCATTCCTTAAGTCACCGAGAGTGGAAGTGACTCCCACATCTGTTTATTTGTCCTACTGCAGGGGAGAAGAGGGTTTTAAGAGAGGAGTCCTTAACAACATGGGATTCACAAACACATATAGAAAAATTTTAAAGTGAGTTTAAAAATAATGATCTATAATGCGAGTCTTCCAAAGGACTGAACAACAACAAAAATATGCCATATCTAAGTCATTGTGCCTTTGCTGGCAATCATACTAAACGCTTATAGCTCTTGGTGACTAAGATTTAGATGACACATTCAAAACTTCAAAAATATTTTCCCTGTTCAAAATCTCCAGCAATAAATATTATTATTAGGAAGGGGCTAAATCTAAAGTTGACTGTGAAAGCTACAGCTCTGAGTTCAGGAAGCCTGGTATCTGGAGATACCCCTTGAGTGATAACTAAATCCTACTTGGTCAGCTAAACAACAGTCTCTCAATATGACACCTTCCCCTATAGAAAAATAAAGCAGTATAAGGCAAATTCTAACTAAGTGATTTATTACTGGAATTACTAGGAGAACCGAGTTTATTAAAACCTTCTTCCCTATATTCTCCACCCCCCAGGAAAGGATTATTGTAAAGGGAATCATTATTAAGCTGGTGTCTTGTTATGGTTTCAATGAAAAACCTTGCCTAGTGGCACCCACCAAAAAAAATGGCAAGTTTAACATGTAAAAAGAGATTTGCACCTGCTTAGTCCAAGTTCCACTGGCCATAGAAAACTTGCTTGTTTAAAGAGAAACTTAAAGAGAGATTAAACACAAAAGGTACTTATGTCAGTTCTTACGGCAAACTAATTTTGGTATAATAATAGAAAAATCACTGCCGATGAAATACACTGAACTGAAACGCTTAGGGAGATGTCTTTCACTTATCCATAGATAACAGGCAGTGATAAAGACTACCTTCTCATCTTTGCTTTTTAATGAAAGTGACTTCGCAGGATTCAGCAGGCCACTGAAATTTTGTACCTACCCGGGGCTGAAGCAAAGCTCCACTATTCTCTAAAGCGAAATAGGAACTCGGCAAAGAATCCAGGTGGCCCTTTGCTTTCCCTTTTAGGGCACCAGCTCCCAGCTTGCTACACTGGTGTTCTCAATGCACAGATCTGGAGTTAGTAGGGGATTGGGGGCTGGTGGTGGTTGGGGGATGGGAAGCAAAATGGAAATCATAAAATGATATCCTTTTCATTTGAAAACTACTTGACAACGGTATGCCAAGATTTTGAGGCACTTGGAAATCACATTTCAGTACGCCGGTTTTCTTGCTCATTCCTGGGCTCCACCTAAATCGGGAAAAGACTGTCTTTAGACACAGGAAGAGACTGGAGCTAGAGGATGGCTTTGTAGTGGAAACATATTTCCACAAGGAGTGTTCAGGTTTGTGTATTTCTAGAAATAATTTATATTTCTGCATGCCTAATGTCACGAGACATCCAGTACCAGCAAGAGTTCATCTTCTCCCCCGGCCTCTAAACAGCCCCCAGTCTGCTGTCCCGATGCCTCCTGCATTCCATTATTTGTAAAGAGCTGCTTCTCTCTAACTTTCTACAGACAACCTCCCAACCCACAGTGAAGCCCAAAATGATGACTTGTTACCACATGAACTTTCTTCTGGCTCATCTGGTTCTGGTTGTTCACCAAAGAATATTAATCTCCAAGAAACAAGTGGGGGGAGGGGAGGGGGAGTCAGTAATATTTATGAGAGAAGGAAAGTGTGGTTCATGTTATAAGGACAAACCAGAGTTGCACCACAATTTTATTTCATATTCTGTCTAAAATAAACTGCTCCAAAATGATTTTATTGGAAATTCAGAGACTTCATGAATAGAAAGGGAAAAACAACAACAGCAAAAAAAATAAAGCGGGAGTTAAATAAATTCCATCCTGGTGTAGCAAGGCAGTAGATTAGTTTTATGTCATACCATGCTCCAATGAGTAATGCTTTTTAAGGGAGTGGTCGTTTATTTGGGTTATTTTATGTCATAGTCCCAAGACACAGAACAAATATCCAACATGGAGAGTCTACTGTAAAACGATCTAGCTTCACATGATTTCCAGGGGATGCATGGCCAAGGCGACCTGAGCTTCCCCAAGGCTGCCCAGTGGTCTATAGTATGGTGCACACCATAGCAGCATGCCCTCTTCCATGGCTGTTATGAGACCATTCTTGGGGAGCCTGGGAAAATGCCTCCAAGTGCTCTGCTGAACCATCAGGACAGCCTGGCAGGTAAGCAGCACTTCACAGTGGACTCCACCCACCACTGCATGGCTCTCCTCCAGCAGAGCCTTCTGGCAGACTCAGGAAGACCTACTGTGTCCCACAATACTTCTCTCCCCGAGATGATTTCTTCATTAGTATCATCACTCACAATCATGAAAAATTTTAAATGTGAAGAAAAGTAGAAAAAAAAAGGGCCATAAATACCCCCAAACCCACCATCTAAACTCAATAATGGTTAATATTTTGTCATATTTCATATACCTATTTGATAAATTATCTCAAAAAAATTAAATATCATGACACTTTACTCCTAAATATGGAAGCATAGACTCCCCCAGATAAAGACAGTCTCCCAAATCACTAAAATACTATGATCACAATGGAGTATGATGCTCTTGCTCAAATAACTACTCCATATTAAAATTTCTGAAACTGTCCTCAA